AACCCCACTTTTGATCGTAGAATCCAAAAATATGAAAAAACATGTATGTTAATTTCGACCATTCCACTACAATTCTCGATGGGCTCGTGAAGCCTCTCTTAATCTTCTACTATTACTTTGTTTCGTGTATGGTTAGAGCAACGACACAGATGTCATTGTTATATCTAAGGATGGCAAACATCCGCCTGGTACACGTAGAACTAAAATTACAAAATGTAGAGTTCAACACGACAAGAAGGTTATCCGGTAGAAGTAGAATTTTACAATTCTTTTGAAAGAAATTTGAAACTTCCGAACAGAAGAGATAAAAAAAACTAACATGTAAAGTTGAACTTAACATAGGTTTTTTTGAGAATACATCTTAGACTTTAGAATTCTAAACTTCTGAACTTTACATGGGAGTTAAACTTTGCTTATGTCTTGTTGAAAACAAATAACGAATAACGCGTATTTTAAAAAAGTCGGTGATACGTCGAAAAACCAGGCTATACAAATGCAAGACAACAAAATAACATCGTAAGTAAAAACAATCCTAATTCTGAATTAAGAGTGATTTTTAGACTTCTAACATAATAAAACGCTACTGTCCTAATAAAGGTAAATTAAATATGAACCAAACTTTCAGAAACTGTTTATAATATTAACTGTGATAATTGTGATGCAGTTGTGTTGTGGAAAGTATAAGGACAACGAGCAGACACTTAAATAAACAACGAAAACAACGCTTCAGAAGCCTTAATTGAAATAACTTCTAATTTAACTTACCTTCTTTAAAGAAAAACAAGAATAAGAAAATTATCAGAGGTCGCATATTGAAAAATTTACAGCAAAATTGAAGAGGTAGTTCACGCACATCATGATCATACGAAATACACGGCGGATTGACTGTGCACTAACCCGCAGTACGCTAGTTTATAGCTTTTGGTTTTTGTTTCTAATATGCAGTAGTGAGTAATCAGTATTAAACTTTTAGCTTTTGTTTCTAGTATGCAATAATGAGTATTCAGTAAATAACTTTCAGTTTTTAGTTTTTATTTCCGGTGTGCAGTAGTGAGTATTCACTATAAAACTTTTAGTTTTAGCATGGGAATGGCGAAAAGAGAAGGCGGAGGGTGTGTGGGGGAGGATGAGAGTGAGCTCTTCCATGATGTTTGTCAGAATATCTGAACATCTAGATATTTTATAGTTGCAGATCTACTCAGAACAGACCGGTCTTTTTTTGATGCATTTTCAGCCGTATTTGCATCATGTTTTATTCTAACTTTGCTTCGAGAAGAATGTCCAAAGGATTCGAGGTGGTATGCCTTTTTGACTGAGATATGAAACAAAAAACTAAGTTATTTACTAAATACTCCATACTACATACTAGAAACTAAAAACTAAAAGTTTAACACTGAATGCTCAATACTGAATACTAGAAACTAGAAACTAAAAACTATACTAGCGTAGATGTTTCGAAAATCTGAGTCCGTGGCGGGTGCAGTTTGGTCATGTTCTCAGTTCACGTATACCTAACAGGATAAGTACTCAAATAGTTCATTAAATAATTTAGATTGAACACAAGCTGAATTTAAATATAAATCAGCACTAAATAAACATGTACAGTGGGGACAAAAGTTTTCCGATCACCCAAAATGTTTCTTCCCTTTTATCACAACTTGGTAATGAAAAAAACTTTGGACAAGCGGTTTGCACCAAAATATTCTCCACTCACCGCTCCACCATATCTCGAAAGCGACTTTCACCATAACACCATTTCGTAGCTATAAGGTTTCTCAGTAATGAAACATCGCAAACCGCTAGAGAAGGTCCTAAATTGAAGCTGACACATGTAGCTAGAGGTTAATAGAGCCCTATTTTTGATATTCGGTCTAGATTTGTGATTAGAAAACTATGTATCTTTATGCAAGTTAATGAAAATTTTTGGTTTTTTAACGCTGACTAATAATTTGAAAAGTAAAATATCAAAAATCCGACTCTATTAGCTTCTAGCGAGATGTGTTTTTACCAACTTAAGACCAGCCCGAGCACTTCATTTCTCTACTGGGAAATCTTGCAGCTACGAACAGCCCCGTTTCGGTCACTGTTGTTGCAACATCTCACGAACGATGCTGGGTGGAGTCAAACAAAAATTTCGTCATCATACTTTCACAAGATCAATATCTTCTAAAAGTTTGGTCAAGATCGGACATACACTTTCAGAGATAGATTTCTGACTTCTTATTCATAGATTAGGTATTAGTGAAACTTTTTGTTTTTTATATATTTTTCATATAACTTGTTTAGGTGATATCGTATAAGAACCTCCACAAACTTCCATAGATAATCATTTAAAATTGATTAATACAATGAAATAAAATAAGAAATGAATTTAGCTACAATCATCGATAACACAGAATTTTGCGTGTCCTTTTAATCTTTTTCTATTCTCTGCAAAGAGAAATGGTTGTGGATAGTACACTACCGAGATACGCTCTGTCGCTTTTTCATCCATTTATTTGCAATTTTCATAAAGGATATATGATGAGACCATAGAATGCTACTCAATACTAATGCAAAAAATACACGGCAAAAAGCGTGAAATCTGAAACCATAAAAGAAGTAACATTAAGTATAAAATCATAGCAAGAAAACAAAGTGTTACCGAATAGAAGAAAACGTCCCTTCCCCATAATAGGAGCCCACCTGGTCCGCAAGTCGAGTTCTAAAGGGTGGTCTCCTATTGCGGTCAAATTTTGTCGCCTGCTAGTAGTCCAACGGTAGCCCCCACGTACTTGAAGTCCATCCTCTATTAGAAGTACATTTTAGCGAAATTTTTTTTGAAAATTTCCCTATAGGTAGGTATAGGACATATTTTAATTTCTTTCGCGCACATAATAGAAGACCATGGTCGTCTATTGGCTTTCAACTCATATAACCGGCAGTGGTCTTCTAATAGAGGATGGTCTTCTGTTATGGGACGGGCGAGGGGAGGGGTAGAGAAAATTATGTATAACTGAAAAGAGTCAGATATAACGTGAAAGTATGCTCAAGAAACCGTAAGTAACAACAAATAAATCGTTTGGAAAGCATAAGAAGTATTACGTCATTAAAACAGCACATTTCATCTTCTATTTTGTTTTAAACTACAAAAGCAGTTATATCAGTTATTTTCATTGCGGTTTTCGCGATTCTACCTATATTCTTCCCAACACTACAGTCCAAGCTCCCAAAATATCTCATCTGTATTAAGTGTTGAAATTTTCTGATTGGTCTTAGGATACAGTCAAGTCAATCAGTCAATCGGCAAGTTTGATAGTTGGCGCTACTACTTAACAGAGCTGGACTTCTCATTTTTGTCATAGTTTTTTAGACTTTTAGAAATGAAATTGTAAAAGATTGCAGCGTATAAGACCGAATACTAGTCACTCTCGTTTTTTGATTTTTAATGATAGATTTTGATAGAAATATATTATTTCGATTATTCTCTACCACTCTGCATCGAAAAAAGTAAAAGAAACAAAAAATGTTTTTCCATATCATAATCTAAACAGTCTATTGTGGAGATAATACTGACGAGGGAACCTCTCGTGGTTATCAACCGCTTTTTTATCGAAATCTAGTGGGTTATAGGTTATCGACCATGCTGATTCCGAATATGATTATGGGAGCTGCCTATGATCCTTCGAATATACGATTTTCTGGAGAACTGGTTTTCCAGAAGTCTAAAGTATAACTAAAACCTTTCTCAAGGAGACATACTTGTAGCCCGTAAATTTCTGATTAAAATGAGCCATCTCTCAGCTCTATAAAATCTTTCTTTGCAAAGTTACAGAATTTACAAGAAAAGCCCTAGCTCTGAGCTACAGAAAAGAAGAAATTAATTTAGGGCTTTTCTTGTAAATTTTTTAACTTTGTAAAGAAAGATTTTACAGAGCTGAGAGATGGCTCATTTTAATCAGAAATTTACGGGCTACAACTATGTCCCTTTAAGAAAGATTTTGGTTATCCTTTAGAGCTTCTGGAAAACCAGTTTTCCAGGAAATCGTATATTCGAAGGATCATAGGCAGCTCCCATAATCATATTCGGAATCAGCATGGTCGATAACCTATAACGCACTAGATTTCGATCAAAAAACGATTTTTTAGAACCTCGAGAGGTTCCCTCGTGAGCAAAATGACATGTGAATAGTAAAATTTGGCATATTTTCTCGTACTTTCGCACAGATTTTTCTGTTCAATACCGCTTTTTCAGTAGTACACTTGAACATTTTTAATTTTTTCCTTCTCATCTAAACATGGCCCCCTCCCAAATTTATTACCTATCGAAAGATCATGAAGCGATTTATAAAGTACCGGTATATGTTTGTTAGACGACTTATCGCTCATTCAACGACTACTAGAGATCGATGAAGCCGATAGTTAAATATTTGCTCATCTCAAAGCACATTCACATTTCTATAATGCTTCAACAGATATTGAGACAACATGTTTATGGAAACTGTTCAATTTTTTTTTCATTTATAATGCTAATAGAGGTGGGCGACAAATTTTATTGAAAAAAGTTTAATAAATGCAAATAATTGTTTAGATTTTTTATCGTACTGGTACTTATCACATAAAACAGTAACAATGTTTTGAAAACATCGCATACTCGTGGATTGACCAGCATACAGAATAAAGGATGCACTCATGTTTGTCTAAAACAAACATATAGGTGAATATTTTTGTATTGTATCAAACTGTCAACGTTATATCCTCTGACATATGCAATGAAGTGCAGTCGACTTCTCTTCGCTCTTATCCTCCTCTTACCTCTATCAAATGCTGCTCCTCTATTCGATGACATTTCTATTATCCGTCAGCGTGTGTTAAACCTAACGATTTGGCCAGCCGAGGACAGCATACCGACTACAGTAAGAGAGGCAATGTTACTCTTACATTCGCTTAATAGTAGCTGCTATTGGCCTGATATCAACTATGCAGACAGAAGTGCAGCCAACTGGATTGTAGCAGAACACATGAATAGAATAACTGTCATGTTAAAAGCATTAACCGTACCAGGCTCACCGGCACAGAATGACACAACGCTGTTATCATCCGTGCACTGTGCTCTAAATGTATGGTTAATACATGACTGGCAGAATCCCAACTGGTGGTGGAATCAGATAGGAATTCCACTTCAAGCAACCAGTCAGCTGTTGATGCTAGGTGACAATGCAACTGACTTTGAAATATCAATGATAAAGAACATGTCCTATCGTGCAGACTGGTGGTATCATGATCCTGGCACAGGTGCTAATCTAGTGTGGATGCTTCAGATCGAACTATATCGATCACTAGCAACTGATAACAGAACAGGCGTAGAGCAAGGCTTCACTCGTATGTGGAAAGATATAGCTGTGTTGCCATTGGGTGGACAAGGTATACAAAGCGACTGGTCATATCATTTTCATGGGCAGCAGATACTATCAGCTAGCTATGGCCAAGACTGGGCTATTGCTATAATCATATTTGTTATATGCAGTGACCAAACTCAGTATGAAATAGATAAGCAACAACTGTCAATATTCGCTACTTTTCTTACTGAAGGGGATGCGTGGATGTCTATGGGCGAAGTCTGGGACTGGAGTGTGTTAGGCAGAGATATTGACAGACCTAACACTGAACAACTAGTGGCAATCAAACCAGACTGGCTGAGAACTCTCTCAAAGTTAAGTGAACTGAATAACAGTAGAGAATTATTAAACTGGGCTGATCGCCTAGATGCACTATCAGATGCTACTCCACTCGTTGGTAACAGGCATTATTACACTTCTGACTACCACGTTCATCGTCGCGCAAACTGGACAAGTACTATCAAAATGCAATCAATTCGTACCACCCCAGCAGAGTGTATCAATGCAGAGAATCAGAAGGCAGAACATGTTGGCCAGGGTGTGCTAAACTTGTATGCTACTGATGCACAGATCGGCAGGTCTAGTGAATATATACAAATCTTTCCTTTGTTGGATTGGCAAGCCATCAATGGAATAACGGTGGAGCATGATATTCCGATTGAGCCATGTAAAAATGGAAGGTTCGATCTCATAAAGCTTAGTTTTGTTGGTGGTGTCAGTGATGGTAACTATGGTGTAGCAATGATGGATACAGCATCTCATAATCTTACTACAAAAAGATCTTGGCATTTTTATGATGATGCAATAATTGCACTTGCTAGCGATATCACATTATCTACTGACAACATTGCTTGGACTACGCTAGCTAGTCGTATATTACCTGACCCTAACAGTAGCGTAACAGTTGGATTTTTCAATACCAGCATTATCACTCTATCTGATGGAAACTACTCGTTCCCTTATAGTTCAGATAGAGCATCCAATGTGCAGTGGTTCCATGCAGGCGGAGTAGGTTATGTGCTTCAGACACAAGAACAATATTTTGCGTTAGGTCTAGAGGTAGGCAGAAAGACAGGTAACTATAACACTTTTGGTCCATACAATTTCACAATTACTGCAAGGATGTTAACCGTCTGGTTAAATCATGGATTAGGGCCATATATACTAGCCTACCGTTATGTCATGTTACCCAATGTTACTGCCAGTGAAATACCTCATCTAGTAAATCGTTATGTTGAAGCACAAGTCTTCTCTTGTATCTCAAGTAGCAAAAATCTCCACGCATCCATTTGGCCTACTCTGCAACGTGCATCGTTTGTTCTGTTTGAAAACAGCACTAGTCATTCTTACTCGTGTCAGAGTCCATCTTTCCAAGTCACTGCTCAGTTGTCCGATAGTGGAGCATATCTATTTAGCGAGACTGATACTGACTTTTCCATTAGTGCCTCTCATCCAACTCGTGTTAATGGTAATGTTAGTCTGATAGTTGACAGAGCGGGGGATGGAGAAGGATGTATGAGGTCAGCTGGATCTACCATTGTAACATTAGCGTTGCCAACCTCTCCTCAGCTGCTGGGTGCATCTGTCACAGTCACATGCAGGAAAGGGTAGGATGACTTGACTGACAACTTAATTGAATAGAACGGATGGTTTACAAAGCAATCTTCATTAACTAGTCCTTTTATTTTGTGATTCATGTGTTTTAAATTTTACTTTATACAGTGACACACCACTCTACATCATTAGTGTTAACTGCTCGATGTAATGAGTGATTTTGGTACTGAATGTTTTCTACTATACCATTTAATAAGCGTTCTTCTTCTTTCTTAGAATACTGTTTCAGAAAAATGTTTTTAATAAGGTATTGAAATCATATTTAGAGCGATAACCGGATTGGATGTCTTGTTATTTCAACTAAAAAACAGCAGTTATTAAATCTTACTTACAGTCGTTTTTCTGCAAGACACATGTGACAGAGAAAGAAACAAATGGCTTAATCCAAGAAGCGCAGCGTGGTTATACTACAAGTAATACGCAGTTGATTTTTGATGCTGATGAAATTATGATAAGTCTGTGGACCTGTAGGTCTAAAGTTGTTTCGTTGCTAGGGTTCTCAAGTTTTACGAAAAAAGCATTTTTTCTCTACTCACCGTGATTCATTTCGCAAGTTATTCAAGTCATTTATTGTATCTTCTAATATGGACTTTTCAACGTATATAGCACTACTGAATGTTATAAAGGTGTCTAATGCTCGTAAATGTCCCGTCATGCGTAAATTTCTATCTTTCTTTAAGGTAACCAGCCCATGAAGAAAAAAGTGTCAAATTGTTGAATATTAAGAGAACGTCCGTCAGAAAAGTGACCTAGAAAGTGAATAGTGGCCGGAGCCAAAATTTTGCTTTCTTTTTCGGTATTCTAGTTAAATACGAATAAATATACTAGTTTGGACTCATTTTCACTGAGTTATAGTTTTTTCCTAATAAGCTTCCAAGTTGGAAGAATTTGAAAGAAACCTCGTAAGTTTTGATAACTCTAAATTAGACAAATTCAACTTCGCAATTCAGCGCTGCAAGCGTCCGATTTGCGGCTTTTTTTGAAAGTGTATCGAAAGTCGAAGTACCAAGACCAAGTGTACCAAAGTCGAAGATCTGTTTTTCTCGTTGCTCATGTCGGGTACATGAGAAATGGATTGTCGGCTCTTGTTGTATAATCCTGTAGAATGGTGCTAATGTGCTCATACTTTGAAAAACAAGGAAATCGCCTTTTAACGTTGATTTTTTCTAAGATTAAATGTTGTCAAATCTCAGTTAGAACCACTTTATCAGATGGAGCTTAAAAAGACACGCTGAATTCATATTTGAACTAGCTTCGTGGGGAAAATATGATTTGCAAAATAAGCCTATTTTTCTATTTACCTTTCTTTTAGAATTTTTTAAACGTGGTATTCATCAGCGGATGCTTGAGTTGTACTAGTCCTGTTACACTTTACCGATTCGGATAAAGTCGATGTGAACATGGTACGCTTTCAAAAGAACTACACTTATTTACAGACTAAGCTTAGTTGCTCATATGAACAAAAGGATAATTGCTTACAAGTAGTAGTTTGTATTTTTGCCATAGTTCCTAGAGGGAAGAATGTGTAGAGTACAGGGGCCTTCCAAAATGTTTCGTACACTTTTCCCTTCAATTTAAGATGTTCCAGAGCTCTGAACGTGTCACCATTCGAAAACTATAAGAGAAACAAAATATGGAAAAACTTCTCGAACAAATAAATACGAAGTGAAAATTATAAAACAATATATAACACTGAACATATTTCGTACAGCGAGGTATGAAAGTCCACTGAAATTTTCAAAAAACGGTTGTCTGGTGGTCAGAAACCGTGTGATTCCTTCGTCTTCGTTTAATTTATAAACCCCTTACCCTAAGATAGAACCTACCAAATGACTGACCTCTCATGTTAGCAATATGATCAGATTGAACAACATAAACTAGATGAATTTGAACAAAATTATCAATTCATACAAGTAATTAAGTGGTACACACATGATTGTTTTCTCTATTGTTTAATTTATAAAGCTCTACAAATATTTAATGTTGATACAAGTCAGGATTAACTGTTAAAGATGAACAATTAAAAAATTTAATGGATTTTCATCGCCATTCATTCAAGAGTCTAGAACAAAATTATTCACTTTATTCATGAGGACTAGTTTTATGGGTAATACAGTTGTGAATGCTCTAAGCGTATTCTGATGAACAACAGTACAAGGCAATTTATTCCAGTTCTTCGTAGTTTTGATACAAAAGAATCGGAAGCAGATTTTAGGGTGTAGTTCTTGCATTAGATCCGTTTGTTATGAGCATTTCTCTCAGTCTGATGAGTGGATGGACGACTGACAAGACTGTTATGAGAAAGAACACTATAACCATGGTAAAGTTTATAGGAATAAACTAAATGTGAAAATTTTCTACGGGAAAATGATGGTGGTGACTTCAACTGACTGGAAAGGATAGTAGAAGTGGATACATAGTCTTGAAATATGACTATACCAGCGAAGAGATTTCTATTCCACTTTAAAAATCCAAGTTACACATGAATCGAACAAACAGAAAAAACTGAATAAGATAGGCTAGTTTTAAGAGGTTCAACTCATAAGTTTGTGGTAAAAAAAATTAAATTCAAAAGAACATTATATCCTTAAAGAACAGAATAGCAGAGTACCTTGAACACTGTTACAAAAGAACTGCTCAACATGTCGAATGAAACTGTTTTTGGTCTCCTGATTTTTTTTGGAAAAAATCTGAAGAATTTTACACGCTCACCTGAAAAACTTGGCAGATATTCTCTCATCCTTGGATTATACATGCTAGATTATGACCTTTGTCTAATACAGATAAGTGAATGGAATAGGATGAATTATGAATGATAGAACCATAAAATCCAACTGACAAAAAGGGATATTAACAGCGGGAAGGTAACGATTGTAGTAAGTCATTTAATAAGTAAGTCAGACGGAATGAACTCGAACTTTGTCGAAAGTATTGTTTATTCTTTCAGGTAATAATAACGTTTGAATGAAGTGTCGAGGTTGTTTCGTTTTACAAACGTCAGCTGACAGAAGGCGCTTCCAGTGACATCTATCTGCTAACGTTTGTAAATCAAAACAATCTCGACACTTCATTAAGTATCGGATCGAGATACGGGAATGAGCATGATAAAATATAATGAGGTGATTTACCCAAGGTACCGCAGGTGGAAATGTTACATGGATGTAATTGAGTAGAGTGAAAGATGTTATCAATATACGTATTTTTAATGGTGGTTGGCACAGAGAAAGCATGTGTCACATCAAAAAGGTCTAAAATTGATCGCAATCCTTGGGATATTAAGGGTTAAACTGTTTTCACATCGATATCGCTCACTAAAATAATTGCTTTGTCATTATTTATGTGTGATAGAAGAAAATTCTGTAAATTGTCAAAGAAGATGGGAGGACTTTCAGATCGGCCATAGGTATTACATAAGTAAACGATTTGGTTGTTACAAGTTAATGACAGCAGAATGAACAATATATATTTGAACAATCATGAACAATAGGTAAACAATGGATGAATAACAAAAATAAAAATGTTTTTTAATAATTTAAGAACAAAATAAATGCACAGATAAATAGAATATACGATAGGGTGCAATAGAGTATGAAATGGACCTGTACCATATACCCATCTTACAATCGATTGATATAATGAAAAAATGGGATTCATTTTTTTGTCCAAACTGTTACTTTCATACATCGTTAAAACAGTATCACTATTCTTCTTCTCCTGTACCTCCTTTCTATCTGCATACTCATGATACGTATAGAAATATTTTGATTTATCAAAATGAAATTTTAAACCTTGATCAAATAATTTTTGTAGGATCGATGTTGGATTATAATATTCAGGTCTATCGTATTTCATCATAAAACGTGGATAGCTATCGCAATATTCATTGTGCAGTTCGTGAACACGATCAAGATTTATAATTTCACCTGTTTTTGATACATCAATTGATCTTGAGAAATACCGATGTAATTCTTTGCATTCCTTTGATAATGAATGTTGTGGATTTTTTTCAGCTACAACTTTGTGAACATTAGCAATGAAACCATATGAAAGTGAATTGAAATTGTTTAGAATATAATCAACAATCAATTCATTAGTGATGTGAGGCACAGTTGATTTCGAAGCTGGTTCGTACAATGATGGTTCCCACATTTTTTCTATTTTTAGTTCATTACCCCAATAAGCCCAATATTGATCACCATCAAGATCTGAACCACTAATTTCATCAAAATGGGGACGATTACCTTTAACTGGGAAAACAATACAATCGCGAATGAATGAACGAAGAAGAGGGACATTCACTGCTCGTAAACGACGAATATCACCGGGATATAAACAAGGATTTTTCGTCACTAATACATCACCTATATTTATCAGAATACATATATATAATACAGATAACAAGCGGTAAAAACTAGTTACCTTCAACAATTTTATATATTTTCTTTCGTTTCGAACCTGTTTCCACTTGGTATTGTATGAAACATTGACCATATTCCAGCTGATTTGTTTCGTCCGAAATACCATATAAGTTTCGAGCCTCATTAACGGGCAAAGGAATTTTATTATGTAATAAAAAATCTTTTCTAAACAACATGAAATGAAGAGAATCGAAGATAATATATTTGTACTTTATAACGCATACGCATTTCGATAACGTCGATCCATTGCTAATGAGGATGAAGATGGTGAATCAAAAATATTGTAGTAAGTTTCCTCTGATGGATGCCATTTAATCTGAGATCGATTTTGAAATGATTCAAAAATAGCATCACTATTACTGAGATCGGATAGTATTCGGATAATTTCGTTATTCAAACTTAAACACACTAAAAAAGTCAAAAAGTTATGACTGCGTAAAAAAAATTTACTATGTTTTTTTCTGAAATTGTAGAACTTCAGAATAAATATAATTGATGACAAAAAGTAGTAGAAAACTGTAGCTGATAGGATAAAAGAGTGCATTTTTACTTTTTCTGGAATAGTCACATATTTCCAGTGTCCAATCGTTACTTTCAAATTTTATCATTGATTTTCGGATTCGAAGATAGTAATCATCGTTTTTCGAAGTATGATCAATAGATACCATACCTTTAACACCGGCAATTCGTATTTGATAAGCTGATGGTATATCGTTCTTACAAGAGACAAAGGTCCGAAAAATGTTCTTTGTGGAAAGATAATAAGGTGCCCGAAAGGCAAATGTGCAGAAAAATTTCTTTTTCGCTTTTTACACATAGCTTGATAGTGGTCATCGAGCTGATCAAGAATATCGATCTTTTAAGTTTTGTTACTAGCTAGTTATTGAAAGAAAGAAATTCATCTACTTGTGTCCATCAAACGTGAGAACGAGTCCATTATTACGGATAGTGACACAAGGAACAGCCATCAATTCAAAAAGATAAAACAGCTGAGTGAAGAAGAAAATAAAACAAATGTATAGTCAAATGAAAGAAAGAAAAGTTTTAATTTTTATGGAATAGTTTTTTAACTTTTTTCGATTGACCCATTTTCAAGAAAAAAGTCAAGTTCTCAGCTTTGTTGCTCTTTTCAACTTGCAAAACTACTTTTTTCGAATTCTCCACAAAAGACTGAGTCGTAAAAACTCATTTTAAAATGAGTTTTCACGACTCAGCCTTTTGAGGAGAATTCGAAAAAAGTAGTTTTGCAAGTTGAAAAGAGCAAAAGCTGAGAATTTGGAGAATTTGGCGATTTTTGAAAAACTATTTGTTTGAAAAAGTTGAAAATTTTTGCATGAAAATCATTTCAAAAATATTAAAAGACCTATATTCTTGATTAGCTCGATGAACGATATCCAACTATGCGTAAAAAGCGAAAAATAATTTTTTCTGCAAATTTGTATTTCTGGCAAGTTAATTACCACGTCATCGATTTTAATTCCTATTGTTTCGGCAACTTGCTTGGCCAGACCTAATGAAATTAATCCGCAGCCATCAGTGAAACAGTAACCATTCCGTTCTACATCATTAATAACCGTTACCACATATGGCTCATCCACTTATACTGTCTCTGGTGTAAACTAAAAACTAACGATGATATTAGTTAAAGTAAAAAAATCATTTTTTCAGTGTTCGCATCATATTTGATGTTTTGAATTGTTTCGACACTCAGTGCTAAAATCAATTGATGCTCCGTAATAGAAAAGTACGTACGTTTTTCCTTATCAGACGAAAAATTGTCTTTATGGATAACAACTGATATGCATTTGACATATTGATATTGGTGGTTCAACATACTTTAGTTTAATCTAAAAATAATTTTTAAAACTATGTCAGTATACTGAGCATATGATACGAGATTGGCTTACATCTGTCGGTGTTGTTGATGTTAAATAAAGTCCTAATCGAGCTACATAAGTCGCCATATTATTAATTTTCGATAAATTTCCTAATGAATTTCGAACTGATTCGATGGTTTCTGATGGTTGAAGTATAATAAACCAAAATGAATGTTCTTTCAGTTGACTTGGTGATGAACCGAAATATTTGTATACACGATTACAACAGTGAATACCTTCGGTCAACATAATCTGACGATATCGTTCACATATGGAGGGTGAATATTCACCTATAATCGACGAACATTCATCATCATCACGAAAATGTACAAGTAGAACATTGGCACATCCACGTTTACGAGTTAAACGATTTCCACGTATTTGATTTTTAGTTAAAAACTGTAGACGAAGTGGTGTCAATACAGCATATTGAACAGCTTCAGGACCAGTTTGTTTTCGTGTTATCGATTGTAAATCACTATCAATATTATAACAGTGGTCATTTTGTAATTTGGATGAAATTAAATCACATAAATCATAAAAATGTGGGTTCGTCGACTCAACTAGAGATCGAAATTTTGAGTTAAAATATTTATCTTGAAATAGATAGCCAAGTGAGTATAAAATTTCCATTCCATAACAATTTCTATTAACAAAATAATCTGCAGGGTAATGTTTATTATAATATTCTAAACGAAACATTGAAAAATTAATTTCAAATTTAGGTCGCTGTCCATCGATTGGAAGTTGTTTGAGAAATTGCCATGCATCCTGGCTAGATTTAAACTGAATATATAAGTCCGAACTTCGTGCTATTCGTTGGATAAATGATGATTGGTTCTTGACCATACACACTCTATAACAGAATTGCATAAAGATATGTGATTAGCCGTATACTATAGATTAAAGCACGCTTCTCTGCGCATCAGATTGGGATTTCTATCTCTTGAAAGTATGAAACTTATATCATTGTGTTATGTCACGCATCATTTGTTATATTTTGCGTACAAACCTTTGCATCAATTTGCCAGATACGTTGAATATTTGAACTGCTGATTTCAGCATAAATATCATTTCAACTGCATTCTTCTCATTATTACCATATTTTACCAAAATTTCTTTTTTGATTGTATTCAATGGTACAAAAATACGATAATGTTGTATTTCCAGTTGTATTCCCACCGTTTGTTTTCTACCATCTTTTTTCACCGATAATCGATGAGCAATAGTCGTACTTTGTGTATGGTCATAGAATATGCTATATGAATACATTGAACCAAAACTGTATAAAACTTGAAATACAGAAGACAATCGGTCAAACCAACCACACAAACCATCCAATGGCCGTGTACTAATTGTGAACCAGACATGCAAATGTTGGGTTGTTAGTATTTCTGCAAGTAGATTACGTATCGTATTTGCTTGTTGACGATTACAATCAACTGAATAGATACCATCTGTAGTCACATATGGTGATCCACTAAAATCAACAAGCATCTTTACCATAGACGATAAATTGTTGTTTATTATTATAGCAATGGTTGAATTCAAGTTTTTGAATGTACACATCACTTTTTTATCATAATTATCCGGTGCAGTATTGGACAAAAAACTAAATATACAAATGAAAATGTTAATAAGCGCGTCAGTTTGGATCCGTGGAAAAAATATTTTACATTCAAAATTTTATTTTTTGAAAGTTTTAGATTGTGGATCAGACTGAGATGAATGGAAATTAACGAGATTGATTAGCTTGAGGAGGCGTAAAAATTCTTATTTAGTCAATCAGAAATGGGTGAATCCTCGCTTTTTCGAGTTTCAGTCGAATCCAGATCAGAGTCCGAGTTGCATCAAAAATTGACTCGAGTCATTTCTGACGTAGACTTCCTCCTAATTCATTTTTCCAAGAAAAGTTTGCATTTGTATTTCCTATCTCTTGTTTGTCTTGTGCTTTTCTAGGTCATGAATCTTTTCGCGTGGCGTGATGTTCTACTCAGAATATTTTCAAATCTGTCTCTCTCTTCTCGTATATAGCAAATATAATACACACCGTTGCAATAATAAAAAAAAAGTAACTCAAGTCAGTTTATCAAGTCTTTCGCCTCGAGTAGACTCAAGTCCGAGGAGTCGTGACTCAGACTTGCTCATTTCTGCAGTCAATTATCCTTATCCTGATTATTTTTAAGCATTTAACCTCGTCAGAAATTTTCTTTCACCATCTTACATTCAATCTAAACGAATGTTTCAGCAATTATTAGTCAAAATGTAGTACTGATAAAGTTCTGAAGATGCCATCGATCTATTTTCGCCAGATGTTGCTTGAGGAAGAGTCAGAAACGAGATTCTTCGTATTCTCCATAATCGTACACACCAGAGTGCGCGTGTCTGCTTAAATTGAAACTTACACATATATCTTCATGCGAACAAAGCCAGATCGTTGGCATTGCCATTTGCTACACTTTCTGAGGCGGAAAAACTTAAAAAATCGAAAAGATTGTCTTCATTTCTGTATAAAAGGCTAGAGAGAAATTAAAAAATTGGACTGTTAGTATATCCCTTAGATTTAGTTTAAAACGTTCGCGAGCCCTCTAGTAGATAAGGTTACGGAAAATTCATACAAATACGAAACAAGATTAGTCGCGAGGGATGCCATTGGCCTATAATAGTATTTTGGGGGCTTATCTCTCATAACGTTTTCCTCATTATACAATTTAAACGTGTTCGGCTTAACCACAAAAATCTGCTCTACACACTGGCATCATTAAAGAAATTAAATTCACAAAAGGTACGGCAAAAACTAGACAGTTTCTGAGAAACTAATACGTTGTGACTTTGTTTAAACTTACTCAAAAAGCTTCATAACCCTTGGATATGACTTCATAGCACCCAACCTGGAGTAATTCAACTATGTAACTGGTGTTTAGGTCAGAGTTGGAACCGGGCCGGCAGACCGGCCGGCCCGGGCGGGTGCCGGTCCGGTCCGGTGTAAAAGTTTAGACCGGCCGGTCTCCACCGATCTTTTGCCGGTCTAGAAATATTTTCAAACCGGCC